GCATTGAATTTTCACGCTTTAAAATGCAGAATATTAGTGAAGCAATATTTGATAATTTATTTTGCTAATATGTTTCTCATTTAGCTAATGTTTTGATTTTTTCACCATGTACAATCTAAATAGCTAATATACTTTTTTAAAAGCCAATAAGAACATTGATAGAATTCTTCTACATAAGTACAATACTATGTCTTTGATGATAAAATACTATGTCTTTGATGATAATATACTATGCCTTTGTGCTAGAACATTGTGTTCATTGGCGAGCGAGCGCAGCGATCCATGGTTCACGGCGTGAACCACATAGGATTGCGTAGCAATTATTGGGGGTTGACGAGCGTTAGCGAGCAGGGGGCGGAGCCTCCTAGTATATTAGAAAACACTTCTGTGCTGATATAATCGTGTGAGCTGACGACGAAATTATATCCTTTCCTTACATTGTTTTTCATCTTTTAAATTTTAATATTTTACAAATTTTATTTATTAATGATATTAATTTCTTTTTAAATATATTTGTATGTATGTATATATGTATATGTATGTATGCATATGTATGTATGTATGTATATATGTATGTATATGCATTGTATGCATACACACATATATGGAATTGCTTCCTGTTCAAGAAAAAGTATATAGTGGCATTGCAGACAGTTCATAAACAATAAAAGTGTTTTCTAGGAATAAATGAACCAGGAATTATACTTACGGCATACTTGAACTGTGCATTAAAATCTGGATCATTGGCACGTACTCTTCTCTCCGTTTCTAAAAGATAAAAAGTGTTTTAAAATTGAGCAAAACAAATATAAAAACTGTAGTTAATCCTCTGATGATTAGAAACTTTCATTGTTATTTCCAGTAATTCAGTTTCATTAAGTAAACCCAAAACAAGCAGCAAATAAAACGGTTTTACTACCAGTTTCTCTCTTTTCCGTCTTACTTCCAGGCATGAGGGATGCTCAGGCTCACACGTACGGTGTAGGGGAAAACCAGTGAAGGGGTTAAACTAGCTACAAAATTATAATTGCCAAGCGCAATGTAGAGTTCATAACTTTTCGTTATTCCTTTTTAACTTTTTGTGCTCCGAGTACTTTAAAATACTATTTGAACTAATATAAGCACTAAACCCTTTAAAATACATAATACAGTATTTTAACGTAATTTGTAATATTCTTAGATACTGTGGTTACTAATTATTAAGATATGAAAAATTTAACTTTTAGAGTTGTAACTGTTGATAGCGCCTCTAAGCATCACCTCCCACATCAGAAAGCTTCCACACGGTTTCTTATAAGTAGTCTGCGCAGATTATTTAAAAAGCGAACCACTTGCGCGCATGAACCCAAATTCTATTTTAAAACTACTAACTAACAAATCAAGTTTTTCAGAGTACCTATCCAGGAATGGATATCTGCTCTTTCATCTAAATTGAAGAATATGTGGTGGAATGGAAGGGAGGCGTTAACATTAAGTTAAGTCTCAGAATGAACAATAATTGATAATCAAAAAATCAAGTCTGGGTTATACATAAAAATAAATCGCAAGTTGATACATAATGAAGGGAACAATTTTAAGATAAAGATAAAGAAAAAATATTTACAGTATTTACTAAAATTTAAAAGTAGAACTGAACTAATCAAATTTTTTTTTCAGAGTACCTAGCCTGATGAGGCTATCTGCTCTTTCATCTCTATGAGAGGAGGAGGAGGGAAGGGGGTTTAAAAGTACTTGAGAGAAATTTATTATATATATTTGAGAATTGAATCTGTAGTGGTTGACAAGTGAATAAAACAAGCCAATCATATTCATAAATAAAACAAATTTTTAGACATATATTTGCTACCACTTTCTTATTTTTACCAGATTATGTATTAAATTGCTCTTTCATTAACTTGTTTGCTTTCATAGTAGTCTAATCAGACTATCTGCAAAAGACCCTGTGGAGGCTTTACTCAAGGGCGACATAAGAATGCAGAGGATTAAAAAAGCTTAAAGCATTTATGAAAATTCAGAATTCTAACAGAATAAGATTGATCATAATTCAAAAGAAACAGCAAAAATTTCTTTTGAAAGAGGTTAAAGCTGTAAGAAAGCGTCTTTCGAAACATTGTATAAAGTGCAAATATCTCACCATATTACTTTAAGAGTTGCGTGTTCTTTCATCATCTTTTATGATGTGTAGACTCATTACAAAAAAAAGGGGGGCAACGTTAAAAAAATATACCAGTAAAAAAGAATTAAGCTTATTCGATGGCTGTGAAAATTTTCCTTGGCAGATGTTTGGGGGTAATCATCTTAGATATTTTCACAAGCTAGTTGCAGATTCATTTTTCATTTATTTACAATCCAGTCAACGATTTTTATTTCCTTTTCTTAACAACCATTGATTATTCTAATTCTGGAAACTGGATATCATTTCCATTCTATATTAACCTTGAAATGAACCATTTATTTCTTGGAAAGATAAATTTAAATATGTTTGAAATCAAAATTTTTATAAGAGAAAGATTATTCGGCTTTTCTGTTTAATGTTTTAACGCAATTTTTTGCCACTGTTAATAAGATCAGTGATTCCTAAATGGTGTTCCAAGGAATCTTGGATTTCAGGTTGCATTTGTAACTCCTGTTTTCTTGATTTTTTTTTGTACTTATGATAATCCGTGGTGGCCCAGGAGATAGAATGCTCGTCTCCCAGTACGGTGAAATGGGTTTTAAACCCAGCGGTGGCTGGTTGATACGAATTCCGAACCCGGATCGCACCAACCACATTGGTGACGTAAAATATCCTCAGTGGTAGATTGATAATGGGTTGGAGTGTCTTGCCATCAGGCTGGAACGTAGAAGGTTTCTATGGTTTTCCTTTCCATGTAACGCAAATGAAGGTTAGTCCCATCACCCATCAAAAGTCCACCACGAAGGCATATATATTCCAACACTTGATATAGGAATTCCCTTATCTTCTAGATTGGGTTCAAAAATACAAGACTACGAAGTTGAACATTGGTAGTCATAAACTCAAAATTGGGTTGGCTGTTCAACGACGATTATGAAATTAAAATAAAATTTTGGTGAGGAAATGTAATTAGACAGCACTTTGACTTTCATAAAAAAGGTAGAAAATAAAGGAATCGCTTTATTAGATTAAAAGAAATAGCACTTGATAATTTTTCGACCATCTTGGAATTTTTCCTCACATCTTTGAAGAAAAAAAAATAATGCGGTTTGTGGCTTTAAGTAAGTAACTTAAAGCTACGCGCGTTTCTCAGTCTTTAGATTTTTTTTTAAATCTAATTTTATTACACTTTAAACTGATTTAACTTATGATGGTAAGACATCATCAATGAAAAAAGATTTGGATGACGCTAAAAAATACTTATCTACTTATAAGCTGGATACTTATCAATAATCTAAAAACAGGCAACTGTATACTATTTAACTACAGTGCACTCCCGATTATCCGGGTTAATCACCGGGACAGGTCGCACGGACAATCGAAAAATACGGATAACCCGAAAGCTCCTTTTGTTAAAGAAAAATTCAATATCAGTACAAAAAATATAAAAATGACTGACATTTGCATGCATAACATCAAACTAGGAATTTTCCTTTTTAAAAAATGTGTAATGCGTCTTCGCCGTATATCGATACACATATTTTACGAACCGCAGTAATGTCACCGTAATCAAATCCTCCCATATAATCTAATAAAGTTTCCNTCCCTGTATTTTAAAATTAATAGCAGCATACAAGATGAATCAAGAACTCCTGGGTTAAAAGAATAACTCTTGATAATCTTTGAGGAATAACTCATACATATTCTTAAAAAGTTTTCAATTTATTGAACTGCTTTTAAGGCCCTCAAAAAATGCTTAGTTTTGTTTTCAATTTTGGTTTTACAAACTTTTCAGATATATTTAGCTTTGCATTTATAAATTGAAGAAAATTATTTTGCTTTGTGTTAATTATAAATTGGAGAAAGATATTGAATATGTTAAAAATAGTGCTGATAGTTTATTAGAGGAAATAAGAAGTACTTAAAGAACTGATAAAACAATATATAAAAACTAATAACATGTAAAAATATCAAATCCCCAAAAAAATTTTCAAAACTTGATACATTACATCAACTACAGATAATTAAAAAACTAAATAGCGAGTTTTTTTAATTTTTTGGACATTGTTTATTTACATTTATGCAATTTTTTTAAACTTATGTTTTCAACATTTTTCTAATTTTTTTTTCTTAACTTATATTACTCAAATATGTAAAAATAAAACTGCAAACCTGTATTTTACGCAATGTTTATTAATATTAAACTCTTTCGGAATAAGGCATTTAGCCTAACGAAGTTCTATTTTTGACCAACGAATAAGCATGACTGGTATCAGTGGTTGGAAAATCTACATTTCTTTTGTAGTTAACTGCAACTAACTTAAGACTACAGCTATTTTTAGGAAATTTTTTTTGCTGGAGGATTTAATTTACTCTTGTGTGCAAAGTCAAAGATGTTTAAGATTAATAGAAACTATTAATTTGGAATAATAAGTTTACTCATTTAAACTCTGGAAATTATAAAGAAGTATCTCATTTCTTTTTGCATAACCAAATTTATTTTTCTAAACCATTTTTAAGAAATTTTTTTCAACCTCCAACTTTTTATGGCTTACTTAACAGAGGCGAATATTTAATTCAAGAAATGCTAGAAAATTATCAAATCTATGTTAAGAATTTAATGTTTTCCCACCTCTTCATTGAAGTAACATGAACGTTTTATATATATATATATATATAATTTTGATTGAGTGATGGCCTTGTGTTTTACATGCTTTGGAAGATACAGTCAAATAGAGTAAATTGATGTCAATTAAATAAAGAGGATTCAAAGCAGCATATTTGTAGTTTTCCCTTCCCGTCTCCATTTTTTTGACAGATGAATTCGTGGGGAAGGGAGCTTGAAGGAGCGACCTCTTCATGCAAAATGCCAATGAATTTAATTATTAACAAACCTGCCACCTTTTAATTTTTTCGACGATGATTTCTTGTAACTTGAGATGAAATTAAATTTTGCTACAGTCACACGTAGAAATGTATTTTTTTAGTTTGTAAGATCCTAAGTGTTTTTATTATGCTCGCTTAATTTATTTTTATGCAGTGATGAATAATATTCGTTAAAAACTAAGTTTTTAAATCCAAGAAATAAAATAAAAAGCATGTATTTAATTACCAATCTCAGAGTAAAAATAAAAGTTTCCACAAAATGCGTAAAAGCAGGCAACTATAATAGGCTCTACTTTTCAATAAAATGAGTCGTATTTAACCCTTTACCTGTTCCAATGCTAGTTTGCTTTTGCTTCTCGCATACAGGCGAAACGTAGGGAAGAAACTAATAAGTCAAAAATAAGAGGAAATGACAAGAGTTTCTGCAATGTAATATTACGTCAAAAACAGGAAAAGATTTAATTCGTGTTTCTTAGATTTGGTCAGAATCCTTTTGCACAATCGCAACATCTCCTAGAAATACTTTACAGAAAATGTAAATAAAAATGCATGAACCTCCCAGCTTTAACACAACTTTTATAAAACTTTACTTATCTTAGGGGTGTTTTAGACATTACTATAAAAATCCTGCTCAAAGTGACAGCTGACAAACAGAATACCTCAACTGTCGAAGAAATCATGCCCAAACAGGAAAGGAGCTTTAGAAATGACGTCATAAATGGCACGCAATCTGGAATCATTTGCGTGAGAAATGATTGGGTTTAGAGAAAGTCTATAATATCTAATGGACATTCCGCCTCACTTTCGGTCTTATTTAGATAATGTATCTTCCTTATCTTTATTTTCTTCCCAATCTGCAGAGTTTTTTTCTTTCTTTGCTGTCTCCACCCCTTCTTTTGCATTCGTGCGTTTACTGGAATCACGTGAGTTGTCATTAAACAATGTATCACGAAATGGCGACACGTTTGAAAGTTTTGTTTTTTTGGGTTTTTTTTAAAATTAATTTCATACTTTTCAAAAAGTACAGAACTAACTAGGCTGTAGAGTTAAAAGTTAACAGTCCGTGACCAAATTATTAGACGCACTATAAGATTCTATGTAATTATCAGGTGATACTAAGCAGTCTGTGACTGAATGTGACTGAAACCGGTTTGCACTTGCTTGCGTTCGTATATCATTTAGTTATAAATTAGGCGATATAAAATATAAATTCGACTATTGGATATATTAGACGATATATTATATAAATATAGAATATTTATTATATCAGGTATTATACTAGTATAATATAATAACTAGGCCAAATCATAAGACGCACTGTAGTGTTTAATAATTACATGTTTTGCACCAGTTTATATGTAATTTTTTTATATTAAAACATACATGTAATAGGTTTTTATTCAGAATATTTTTAATACACTTCCTATATGTATTTATTTTTAACGTATTGCATAACAATGTTAACCAATTTATACACGAACATAAACAAGTGCAAACCGGTTTCAGTAGAGTAAAAGTAATAATGCTAGTATCACCTGATACTTAATATTTTTCAAAGAATCTTATAGTGCGTCGATCACATTTTTAATATTCGGAGTTGAAGAAGAAAAAGTTCCAGTTCATTTTAAAACAAATCCTTTTGGTTGATAAAAGGACTGGTCTTTGGTCTTATGGCCATAATATTAGACTTTTGTATTATGAAGAACTATTTCGACAACTAAATAGCTTAGTGGAGGAACTAGGAAAGTGAGATTTTTCAGAGAGGCTATAATCAAGGTAAGAAGAAAGAAAATAATGCCGAACTATTTTATGATAGATATATTGGAAGGCGGAGCTAATAACGCTTTGTATTATCTTATTTAACTATTTTTATTGTATTTTTATTTACTGTAGACTCTCCTTTTATAAGATGATCATAAATGTGTGGGTGTAGGGGTAAAATAGGGATTTCTTGCTCTTTTTCTACAATAAATTTGCACAGCTCNGTATTATGAAGAACTATTTCGATAACCAATGCCGGATTATGCGTACGCGGGGCCGTAGGTCATTCAAATTTTTGGGGACTTAGATTACATTTTTTTTACTTGTATATTTTTCATTTATTCAAATATAGAAGTATTTATATATCTTTTCATTTAAGAAAGCATATTTAAAATAAAAATAAATAATTATAAATTAAATATTAATATAAATAACACTAAAATAAGTAATAAATAAACAACCTACTGCTAACTGCCAACAACTAAATAGCTTAATGGAGGAACTACGAAAGTGAGCTAAACAACGTTTAGGAGCACAAAAAAAATTATTTATTTAAGTGCTCCTAAGCGTGGTTTACCATAGTTTGTATTTTAGCACAAAGGTCGCCCACTTGTGTATTTACGAAAGTGAGATTTTTTCAGAGAGGCTATAATCAACGTAAGAAGAAAGAAAATAATGCCGAACTATTTTATGATTGATATATTGGAAGACGGAACTAATTATGCTTTTGTTTTATCTTATTTAACAATTTCTATTGTATTTTTTTTACTGTAGAATCTTCTTTTATAAGATGATCATAAATGTGCGGGTGTAAGGGTAAAAGAGTGATATCATGCTCGTTTTCTACAATAAACCGTATTTTTTGTAAGCATTATAATGTCTTTTACCTTTCTGTTCCTCATTGCGTCTCCAGCATTTCGCCATGGCCGGCTGTTATCACCCTCCATTGGTGGCTGATATCATTATAAATTGGCCATCCTGAAAACGAGAAGAATTATGAATTTATAAACGCTTTTTCAAGAAAACCACTGTCACATTTCTACAAAGTGAAATTAGAGAAAAAGGTGTATAAATATAGAAATAAGAATTAAATATATTAATTAAATTACGAACTAAGCAATTAGCTTACATCAATTTTGAATTAATTCATTTCCCATTTATGTTGCATTTGCGCAACAAAGGTATGATGTGTAATGTACCTTTTACACAAAATAAATAAATCAAAATTCGTTAGTTAATTAATAAGTCAATAAATAAATAAAATGGTTGGGAAACCATTTAAAACATTAACTTTTAAAAGCATTGACGTAACATAATTTATGATCTCGATAAAATTGTCAATGTTATTAATACATTTTGGTAAAAACGAATGTTTTGATTTCACCGAAATATATATGTATAAAATGCAATAATTGAGTCAGTTACCTTCAGATTGAAAAAAAAAGTTTTAAGAGAGAGAGATGAGAGTTTTTGTCGGTTTATGGGTTAATGTTTATCAATTAATCCTTCTCTGAAAGTGATGTCCCTATCCTAACATTGATACTATGATTTGGAGAAATTCTGGTAGGTATTTTTTTGGACTAAACAGTAGTGACTCTTGTTTAAACAGTAGTGACTTCGGACAGATGTCCGAAATAGTATAAAACATTCTCTGTTTGTACAGTTATTGTCTTGGGAAAAGTTAAAAGATGAAACCCTGGGGCGTGGATAATGTGCAAAGAAAACCCTTTTCTTTGACAAAATCTTTTTAAAAAGCTTTTGGGTTGTCTTAAAGGGATTTCAAAAAACGTTCTAATAACTTCTAATAATCTTCTAAACATTCATTCTAATTGAAGATAAATGCTCAAATTTTGCTTTAAAAAATACTGTATTTGCACAAATTTGAGATAAAAATTTTTTTTTTGATAATTTTACAGGAATTCTCCAAGTTAGCCCCTTCTCCTGATATTATAAGACTATTTATAAAATTTACTTTTGTGTATTTTATTTTTGAAACATAAAATTTTTCATTTTACTTACGAACTAAAATTGAGGAACTATTTTAAGCGAAAGTAAAAATTTTAAACGATTTTAACTGAAACTTTTTTTATAAAATTAATGATTTAAAGTTTTCACTTTAAAAAAATATTATTATATATATTAAATCATTAAACTTATTAAATATTTTTATAACTGTAAAATGAAATTTATTTTCAGTTTAAAGAAAAGGCAATTGGAAACAGTCTCCAACGGCGATAGAACTTGTAACATACTCATTATAAGGTTACTCGTTATTAGGCTGATTCTAAATATCTTAACAAATGCGTAATCATCCGTACTCAAATATTAATTATTTTTTTAAAAATTGAATGAAATTAATTTTTACAGAGTTAAATGCTAAATTTTAACATCAAGAGCTGTGTTATCTAGTACTTTTACACCATTTTTTTGTCCAAGCTCATTAATTTAAGAATGGCTTCGTTACATCAGAAGTTTTAAAATTTATACTTCTCTTGATAATATTAGTTACATTACGGCAAGACGATTCTTTAAAATTCGTGTGGAAAAGGGTTAAAGCAAATGCAATTCTGCACGTGTCTCTATGTTTTGCGCTGTAATTTGTACATGATTTTCTTACCGAAAAAAAAAATATTGTGTCCGACAACACTTTTATCAATGGTACTTGCTAATCATCCTAATAATTGAAATTTTTATACTTTAGCAACACTAACAGTCTCTTCTTAATAGTTGCATCTTACTCACATCTATGTTAATAAAAAGGGTACAAGCATAAAGCTATGGAAACATTTAACTCAAACAATGTAAGTAATCTTTTATTTCAGCGGCTAATGTTTTGATGATGAGATGTCATGGCAAAAATGTTGGTGCAATTTAAATGATCATGCTTGAAGCTTTTAGAAATGTTTATTTTTACATAAAGAAAATTCAGATTCACCAAAGGGGTTACTAATTTCTTTCTAGCTTTATTAAAAGCAATTTTGAAATAATTTCTTTTCACTTCAACTGTACCTGAGCCAAACATGATCTTTGCCCACAGTCAGCGCGGTAGATGAATTACATAAAAAAGATAAAAATCACTGCTGTAACTACTTTCAACTTTTCATCTAATTGATTAGGATTTGTTTCCCCTCTTCCTCAATACCATTTACATTCCATACCCTAAACTACAAGCTCATGATGAATAGGAAAAGGGCCGCTAGCGGCTGGAGTAGCTCAGCCATACAACAAAGATCAATAAAATCTCTGGATCTGGATATCCCTTCCCGAATGCTTTCTCCAATCCATTAAATGCTCTGGAGCGTGAGAGGTCTTGATAGCCTGGTTGGTAGGGCGTTGGGCCCATGTCCGAGAGGTCCTGATTACGATCCCTGCTGACGAAGATTCCCGTGCACAAAATGGTAACTTGTGCAAGCTAAATCTGTCTGGGTCGTAAAGTCCTTAAAGTTCCCATAACAAATCATACCTCTTGGGATACTGGATCGGATATTGATCGTGCTCTGGTTCAGGTCAAAATTACGATTTGCGGATGGATGGTGAGTGAGTCTGTCCTCTCTATAAAACGGGGTGTAACGTATGTATGTTATCCCGGATCATCCTCAGAGATGTTTTCTAGACCGTTCACAATAGCCCATTGTATATCTCTAGGGCAACGTAACTTAAAATACCGTACCTCTAGAGTGTGGAGGTATCTTTGTGATGTAAACTTTTCAACTTGTCATAGACTTCTAAGCCTTCACTGTATTGAGCCCATAACAAATAAAATAAACAAACGAGGAACTGTTTATGCTATTTCTGAATATAAGATATTTCTGATTAAAATTGCTTTACAACGATTTAGCCAATTTATGATGGGATAGAGCAGCTCCCTCTTTGAAACAAATTCAAATTTAAAACCAAAAGATTTTTGTTAATTGTCAATTAGTTAGAATCATAATAAATCAGTTTAAAACTGAAATAAAGTTTTTCGGATCAAGCTTGATTAATAGCTGCTTCAGCCAGTTAGCAACAAAGATTTAGGACAAGGCGAAAAGATAGTTTTATCTCTTTTAAGGGTGTGGGTGGTTTTTGGCGAGCCAGCAGCAGTTTAGACTCCCCTTGGCTCCGAAAGCTGCCGCAGGGTGGAGCCAAAGAAGAAGAAAGGGCGTTGCTACTTTGATCTCGATAAATACTAGTTACAAAAGAATTCGTTAATTATTTAGACCCTCTTGCGCCGGTCACGTGATCTATGGGATGCAAAGTTTCCGATGGAGGAGCAAGCGCAAGGAAGGATTGGCTGCTGACGAGCAACCTGCGTGAAGACAACAATTATTTGGGATGTTAAGAATAAAAAAGTGCACCTGGCTGCACCCCCATCCCCAATGATGCCAGGGAAGATGGACGATAATTTGGCAAAAAGGGTCTTCCTCTTTGAAAGTGATCACATTTGGGTGTCAACCATAGACAATATTGATGAGTGAGACCTTGACCAACATTTATGTTTGCAGATGTGTTGTACACTTTTCAGCAATTCAGATGAAAATTTTAGAAGTGTAATCCTGCATTGTACACGGTGGGCGGTACACGCAATAATGATTTTCACTAGAGTTGTATTTAATCATTAAGTATCAAATTATCAAAATAAATACCCAAGATTAACCTGCTGATGAATTAAGCTTCTTTTATGTGTGCGTGTATTTTACTTTTAAAAAGATGTGGTTTGGTAAATCAATTATTTAATCTAATAATTTATTTCAAAGAAATATGATCTACTATAAGTATTAATTAAGAAACATCCTTATTTCCCTCAGAAATCTCATTGAAATGCTAATTTTTGTAGAAAACTTAAGTGATAGTTTCACTGATTTTTTTAAAAATAATTATCATTATTAATTCATCACGTTTTGTATCGCATTTATGATCTACACAGTGTCTACAATTCTACATAATCTGTTTTTCCTGATCTGCAGAAATTTGGACTACTCAGGACAATTGTTCTGGCTACTCAGGACCAGCCTGGTTCTTACTGATTCATCGGATCTAATATGACTCAAAAAGATGAAATAGTCTAGAATCTAATCGAATAGTCTAGAATCTAATAGCAGTCTAGAATAACACAGAAGTCCTCATTAATATAGAAATAAATAAATAACACAGGAATATAGGTGCACCAACTTGCTTCACTTAGTGGAAATAACATTTCTTGTGGTAGCAAAATTTATCTGTAATGCGGCTTGTCAGAAAATAGTGGTGGATAAAAATCTATTAAGTTGAATTTATTAAACCAAGAATCACAAATGATAAACTACCACTTGAAAATAAATATTTGCGGTCCGGAGCAAGTTGGCATCTCTGGTTTATACACCATACATCCTTTTTACCCTGATTGTCGCTAACGTGAGAATGCATATTCATATATGACTGGCCTGTCTCGAAGAGGTTAATAATTCCAACGTAACTACCACTATGACTAACGTCTTAATTTATTTAAAACCAAAACATTCCTTGCATTTACGTTCAATAATTACCTGAAAAAATAAGCTATAAAAAGTTGCTAATTTTAATTTTAATATAGAAAAAAAATCGAGTTTTATAAGTCGCAATTTATTATTATTTTTTTTTCTGCATTTTCGTTGCCCGTGGCAGCCGAAAACTATCTATAATAAAATGATTACCTTACTTTTCTTTCTTTATTTGAAACAAATTGGGTGCCTGGGCCGCGCAGCGGCCCCTAACCCATACATCATGAAATATTTACAATGAGTTAAAACATTTTGAGTTATGCTACAATATGGTGGCATAAAATGATTATCTTTCCAGCATTTGTTATTTTTCGTGTAAGCTTTGAACTTTGTTGAGGTAGTGTCTATTGTGACATTAGACTAAAAATTAATTTTTTCTAAAACACGAAAAGTTTAACTGAAATTTTAATTTTTATACAGTAAAAGCAACTATTCCCTACCTAAACTTCGCAAATTTATAAATATTGGAGGACATATTGT